TCCTCTCTGCTTGCTTGATGGGATGCTACCCAGGTCATGCATACTTAGTAAAACTACTTAGTAAAACTATTTAGATCTTCACACTAAAAAAAAAAAGCCGTATCTTCACAGACTCACAAAACAATGTCTGATTTAAAAAGCAGTGATTCTCGGGGCACCTGGGTGGCTCAGTTGGTTGAGAGTCCGACTTTGGCTCGGGTCGTGATCTCATGGCTCCTGAGTTCGAGCCCCGCATCAGGCTCTGTACTGACAGCTGGGACCCTGGAGTCTGCTTTGGATTCTGGGTCTCCCCCTCACTCTGCGCCTCCCCCTCTAGAACTTGGTCTCTCTCCCCAATATAAACAAACCTTGAAAAAAAATTTTTTAAAAAGCAGTGATTCTCAGGGCGCCTAGGTGACTCAGTTAGTTGAGCATCTGACTTCGACTCAGGTTGTGATCTCATGGTTCGTGAGTTTGAGTCCCACATCAGGCTCTGTGTTGACGGCTCAGAGCCTGGAGCCTGCTTCGGATTCTGCGTCTCCTTCTCTCTCTGCCCCTCTCCTGTTCGCACTGTCTCTCTTTCTCTCTCTCTCTCTCAAAACCTGAATAAACATTAAAAAAACTTAAAAAATAAATAAATAAAAAGCAGAGACTCTCAAAAAATGGTCGTTCAACCCACCTCTTGGTTACTGAATTCTTTCCTTGCAGGAAAATATGAGTAGGTAAGCTGGTAAAGTCAGGGCTCTTTTGCCTCATCTAAGTTATGCTAAAAAAATTTTTGAGAACTATCATACCACATATTATGTAGATATGTAAATATAATATTTATATGTAAATATAACGTGCATTATGTAATTATGTAAAAATAAAAATCGACACACACATACAGAGAAATAAGACTATCAGGAACTGTATCAGACTATTAACAGTGGTTTCACAAAGTGGAAGATCAACGACTCTTTAAATCCTTTTTCACAGTTTTTGGCTTTTGTTGAATTTCTACAATGAACATGCTTTAATTTTACTAAGAAGAAAAAAATCCTTCCAGGGAAAAGAACACCCCCCCCCCCCAACACACATGCTAAATTAAATTCACAGATTCCATGTTTAACTTTTTTCCCTGAAATTCTATAAAAGTACAAACCAATGCCAAAGAGGGGAAGTATGTGATCAAACTTTAAAAGGACAAAGAAAACAAAGAAGAAAACAATGGAATTAAGGTATTCCAGCCTGAAGACCACTCATTTAGTCAACAGGTAATGTATGCCGTGTACCACACTCTCAGAAGACAAGGAGAGCAGAGAATCCTGTTCCCAGGAAGTGAAAACATGCTTGAGAACTACCGGGGAGGTTGCATCCAACAGCTACTGGGGGTGGGGCAGTCTTGAAGAATGAGGACAAGTTCCAGAGGCAAGGAGGAATGCGGGATACATTTCAAACCACACGAAGAATCCATGCAAAGCAGCAAAATACAAAGAAATCCTGCTTGTATTCTTGCAAAAGTAATTTTTTTAAGTTTACTTATTTATTTTGAGAGAGGAACAGTATAAGCAGGGGAGGGGCAGAGAGAGAGAGAGAGAAAGAGAGAGAGAGAGAGAGAGAGAGAGAGAAAAAGAGAGAGGGAATCCCAAGCAGGCTCCACACTACCAGTGCAGAGCCCGATGTGAGGCTCAAACTCACGAAACCTTGAGATTATGACCTGAGTCGAAACCAAGAGCCGGACGCTCAACCAACTGAGCCACCCACCTTGTCAAACAAGTTAAAAATTAATGCCTGTAGTAGCATAAAACAGAAAGCAGAGGACAGAAAAGGAAGAAAGAAGAGAGAGAGAGGGAAAGAGGAAGACGGGGGGCAGGAAGGCGGGCAGACAACCATAACAGCACCAGGCATGGGAGGAGGCAAGACTGCTGAGGCCGGCACCTGGTAGGCAATGAGGCAGTAAAAAGAGGTTTTTAGTAGAGGAACCGTCATATAATCAAGACGAGGGGGGTGATGGTGGGGAAGCAAAAATGAAACAGAGAGGATAGAGCCGAGAGATGAGGAAGTAGAAGTGACAGACTTGGGAACTGATCGGAGGTGATCCTGAAGCTCCAAGCATTTTGGTGACAGGGCGGACAGTGGCACAGTCTAAGAGAACTTTAAGAAAAGCAGCAGCTTGGCAGTGGCTGGTGGTAAAGCCTCATACCCAAAAGGACTCATAAATCCAAGGGCAAGAAGAGGTATAATTTTGTCATCGGATACCGAAAAGTGGGGGCACCTGGGTGGCTCAGTTGGTCAGGTGTCCGATTCGTGGTTTCAGCTCACATCATGATCTCGCGGTTCGTGGGTTCGAGCCCCGTGTCGGGCTCGGCACTGGCAGTGCGGAGCCTGCTTGGGACCCTCTCTCTCTCCCTCTCTCTCTTTCTCAAAATAAATAAACTTGAACTGCAAAAAAAAAAAGCGAATCAGTCTAAGAGCGAGAGAAGCAAGGTGTGGGAGGGGTTGGTCAAGACCACTGCTGTGCCCAGCTAGGGCGCATGTGGGTGACACTGAGACACCCTGTGCTACCACAGGCAAGCCACTTGAGGAGGCCGTTCACAAAAGGCTCCCCCTACAAAGGGAAGGCTCCCCCTGGTAGGAGAATGCCGACTGATCAACGCTGAAGGAACCAGGGAGTCAAACGATGGGGAGAGAGTGGCTCTGCAGTGGAGAAGCTCGGCCCACACCGCCACCTTAACCAAGGGGTCCAAGTGAACGTTACCAGCGATGGGTCAAACTGACATCATGTGTCACATGGTGCGATGCACCGACAAGGACACAGCATCGCTTCCCTGCTGTTTCTGCCCAAGGTGCAAATAGGAACTTAATCGTGAGGAAAACACCCAAAAAACAAACAAACAAAAACCCGAAGAAATGCCAAACTGAGGAGGAACGTCCTACAAAATAACTAATCTGTAGTTCAAACTATTGAGGCCCTGAAAAACAGACTAAAAACTGTTCTAGATTGAAAGAGCCTCGAGACTCGACGACTAAACCTATCATGTGGTCCAGGATTAGCTCCTGGGCCCAAAATATTTTTGTGTTTTGCCATAAAGGACATTAATGGGACAACTAATGAAATGAAAACAGAGGACAGGTTAGCGTTGGGTCAATGTTTACGTCCTAATTTTGATAACCGCACGGTGGTTACGTAAGAGAATGTTTTTAGGAATTACCCACTGAGGTAGTTAGAAGTAAAGCTGCATCAGATATGCAAACTTTCATATATTTCAGACAGTTATCTATATAGAAAGAATGGTGTGGGGGCGCCTGGGTGGCGCAGTCGGTTGAGCGTCCGACTTCAGCCAGGTCACGATCTCGCGGTCCGCGAGTTCGAGCCCTGCGTCGGGCTCTGGGCTGATGGCTCAGAGCCTGGAGCCTGTTTCTGATTCTGTGTCTCCCTCTCTCTCTGCCCCTCCCCCGTTCATGCTCTGTCTCTCTCTGTCCCAAAAATAAATAAACGTTGAAAAAAAAATTTAAAAAAAAAAAAAAAAAAGAAAGAATGGTGTGGGGGAAAGTGCTAAAACACTAACACTGAAGGAACCTGGGAATTTTTGTAACTTCCAATTTGTTTAAACTTGTAATTTTTCCAATAAATCGAAAATACTTTGAAAATAAAGGTAAGGAGAAAGCAACCTTCCCCTCCCCCAGAATGACACAGGGTATCTTTCTGAAGTGCTAGGTCAACATGTAAAGGCCTCAATCACCTGAATTGGACCTTTGTGCAGTTTTTCCCCTTGCACAAGGGAGAGGTGCCAGAAAGAAACTGATCTATGAAACCAGTGTCAAAAAGATGGACACTGACAAAAGTGTCCCCATTCTGGGGACAGAACGGACTAAACAAAGCTGCAGATCTGCTGTTAGATTAGGCAAAGTGTTCACCGTGATTCAACCCTGGTGTGTTGCAGAGAAAACCCCGGAAATAACCACGAAGTCTGCTTTAGCAGGCTTCAACTTGAAACCTATTTTCCCTGATTTGGCACATCCTACGTAAATATTAACACCGTCACGCAGCTTACTAGATGCTGCTGAAATTATCCGCAGCACCCACGGGCTGTGCACACCATACGATACTTAACATCATTGCAGGGAACACCGGGATCAGAGCACAGAGGGAGGCTCTAACCCCTACTTTGGTTTCAAATTGTTTAAACCCATATTCTTGAGCTCAACTACTAATGCTAATGCCCAAGAACTGACCTAACCATGCACCCGCTTAGACTACCTTCTCCTCAAAGCTCATCAGCTCTGAGAGCATCCAGGAGAAAACCAAACCAAGGGACACAATGGCAAAAGGGAGGCCAAAGAGACACGTTACGAGAACACTTAATGAACAAATAAATGTTTTCAATACAGGCACAAATTTGTCACTTCGAGAACGATGCAGAAAACATTAAGACGGTTGTTCTTTGCAGTAACACCAAGTTGTCAATGGAGTTGAAATACAGCTGCCTGACCAGAAGATATCCAAGGATCCTAGCTGGGCTTTTTTTACCCCAGGGAAAAAATTCTATCAATAATGAATCCCAGGCGCCTGATCAAAGGCCAAGGTCTGCAACAGTCACGACTACTCCTTCATTTTATTAAGCCAAAGTTCATTACCATTTGTGCCCAGGACAGGGCTGCGGACACAATGGTAACATGCCCCTTTCCCTGCCCTCAAGCGGCTGACAGATCTTCGAGGCCACAGACAAACAGGGTGGGTGCTCTGACAGGGAGCTGAGGGAGCACAGAGAAAGCACCTAACCAGCCACAGCTGCAGGCCTGAAAACACGCTGCTTGGTGCACGGAAAGGTCTCACGGATCCCGTACAACAGCCGCAAAACTACACGCAGATGGAGACCCATAAGTCTGACAGCTGTCCAGACTGCTCAGCTCCTTCTCAGAAAGCATCTCACACTTAAGGAGAGCTGATCCCAGCGTCTCCAGATGGCTCAGCTCGCCAGAAAGTAGCCCGTAGACAGTGAAAGCCATGATCAGCTCTGAGGTAACAACACTCTTACCTGTGGCTTCAATGTACTCAATACATCTCTCAATAAACACAGGGATGGGCTTCTCTGGAGTCACGACAGTTGTCAAGGGCACCCCAAAATAGTTACTCTCCCAGGTTGCCTTTGTGATGGACGGCCGGGGTTTGGGCTTTGGTTTCTGTACAGGAAAGAGAAAAGAAAGCATAAAACAAAAACAAAGTGAATATCAACATGCAACTTAAACATCAGCTAAAGCTTCCAGAAGGGAATTCACAGTGGTGTGGAAACTGCTGGGAAGACTCCAAGCAGGATAGAGATCCATTTGCTCATCTCACTAATTTTGTATTTTCCAGCCTCCAAATATCACACAAGATGCCAGCCAGTTGACACACAGTCACACCCTGAGTGTGAGACTGCGTTATCAACACAAAGGTGTTTAGAAGAAGCAGGCCATGTTGAGTTAATAACAACGAGATGGCTATCCACATCCTTTATCAGGGGTGCCCTGGAGTAAACAGGAAGTTTTCCAAACATCCCACATGGATAATGAATGTCATACACTCAAGACAGCTAAAATCTTTAAAAAGATAAAAGATGGAATGGAGAATGAGTAATTTCCTCTTTCCAGAAAAGAAATAGAGCATGTGTTCTGCTACGGCTGAAAGCTCCAAATGAGAATTCCCTTCCATACATTAGCCCGGGGTTAACTCTCAATGGCTTCCGAATCAGAAAAGGGTAAAACCAACTGAGCAAACATGACAAAGAAGGTAATACTTGTCTCTTCTTTCCCAGCAGCCCCCTTCCTCCGGAGCAGGAGCAGCGGCAACCACTTGAGAGCTCGCCGTGTACCAAGCCAGGTCCCAAATATTACTTCTTTTAAACCTCACGACATTCTGTTGAATCAAGGAAAAATGTCCCACGTGCCTAAGTCACACAAGTAGTAAGTCATAGTGCTGGGATTCAAACCCAGGAGGGTCTGTCTCCAAAGCTCAGGCTCATAGACCTCTCTGAGATATTCTGCTCCAAAATTATTCAATCCTTTTATTTTGAAGCTCACATGAGGAAAAAATGCTCTGAACGGTAAATTTCCTAAAAGTGACAAAAACGTACCTGAAATTCTGGACTTTTGTTAAAATATCTACTAAGGAAAAGGGTAACCAAACAGGAGCAAGGTAAATGGACCCAGGTATAGCTCCGGCAATTCAGTTTCATGTCCAAGTTAACGAGATGAATTTAGAGGGCAGATTTATTACAAATATACGCAACCCATAAACTTGAAAGTATTTAGGGATCTTTGCATAAAATCCACTGGAGGGACAACTAACTAGCCAGGGTCAACCATTCGCATTCCTCATCCTGCCCATCTTCGTTCCTCCTGGTACCTCTATTTATATGGGAACAAATCGCTTCCTGTTTAGTCTGAGATTCTCAGAGGACTTCCTGTGCAAACAAGTACCAAAGAAAAAGAACAACTGAGAAGAAAACGTACACGAAAGAAGGCACAAGCCCATCTCTAAGCTGGTTGACATTACCTGCAATGACCACCAAAAGGCAAAGACCATCCACTCTACACAGAGCCTGTTAACTGGGTCAGTCTGGAAGACTGTACTGCCATGCGAATGGATCTTGGCGTTCCAGAGAAGAACCACAAAGCCTCCACGAGGCTCACCCCTGCCCCTGTCCCACTCCTCATCAATGCAGCCACACCACCTCTCAGATTGCAGAGAGTGGCCACTGTTCCTTCCCCTTCCAGACTGCCTGCCAGAGGCAAACAGGCTCGGACCTAGACTTTTTACCAAAGAAGTAAGGAAAAGCAAATGAGTGATTTATGATGTATCTTTACACGAGATAATTTAACCAATCTAGACTCTCTCCCTGACATCTTCTATTTATATGAAGTATAACATAAAGAATTTAAGATCTGAAATCTTAGCAGACCTGGGTCTGAATCCTGACAGACAAGTCCTGTGACTCTGGGTAAGTGACTTATTAGCATCTCAGGGACAGGGCCTCCTCACAAGGTGGTCTTGAGGGTGAAATGTGGGCGACTGGCTCAGTGCCTAGCCTCACAGTAGCCATCCAGTAATTCGAGGAAAGAGAGGGGTGGGTGCTTCTGTTGTTACACGTTGTGGCAACCGGATAACCATGAGTCAAGCGATGCTCTCCCTTAAAAATGCCATACAGTTTAAATTATTAGCTACAGATTCTGAATATACAAGGAAGACCATCTGGATTTCAGCGACATTCTTTTTATCAGTCTCAGTCTTGCAGAATTTCCCTGTCAAAACTGACAACAGTATTGTTCTTCAATAAAACTGATGCTTCCAAATAAATTGTTAAGGAATAAAACATGGAACTTTTTTTCTAATCACCATAAGGCCTTCTTTTTCTTAAATTAAGTTTACTTTTATCTTTACATTTTCATTTATTTTGAGAGAGAGAGAACAAGCAGGAGAGGGGCAGAGAGAGAGAGAGGAAGGGGGGGGGAGAGAGAGAGAGAGAGAGAGAGAGAGAGAGAGAGAGAGAGACAAAATCCCAAGCAGGCTCTGCACTGTCAGCGCAGAGCCGATGTGGGGCTTGAACTCACAAACCATGAGATCATGACCTGAGCTGAAACTGAGAGTCAGACGCTTAACCAACTGAGACACCCAGACGCCCCTAACCAAGCCTTCTAACCATAGTTCTAGTAAACGATCAATTTTAATCTTATACTTTCTTCCTCCACCTTCTCAATACCAGAACAAGATGATGAGGTGTGTTCTAACAATCTAAGTTAACTAGAAACTTTACCATCTATCAACTGAATACTGTGTACTGGACCCTTGCTTAATTAAGTTCCTTAGATGTATTATTTCATTCCAGACTCACAACAGCTCCAAGGGTGTGGGGTTAATAACTCCATTTTACAGATGAAGTGGAGTCGTAGAAAAATTCAGTTACTTGCCCAAGTCAGTTTTGACTACAAAACTTGCTCTCTTAACCACTATGGTTCACGGCCCTTCCCTGAAAGGTCCTGAGAGAGGCAGAATGAATAAATGGATAGCTGAATAAATGATTAAGGGTACACCGACAATCTGGAGAGCTTCTAAGGTAATAGAGGCCCACTCACATAAAATACCAGGGATCTTTAAGCTGGAAAAGGAAGGAATGGAGCATTATGACAACTATTTCATACAACTATAGGACTATCTCTTGGAAAGAGAGATTATTTTATATGATTCCAAAGGGTTATGCTGAAAGAAATAAGAAGAGAACACAAGCAATTTTGGCCTTAAATATAAAGAGAAATTTAAAAAACAAAATCCCCAGGTGTTTAAACAGGAAGGGACTGCTCTGTACAAATATTCCAAGCACAGGTTGCAAACTACATACCTCTGCCACACCACTGTCAAGGAGATTCTTCCATTCGATGGAAGACTAAATTGGATACTGCCCTTATGCCTCTCGTCCCAAAGAATCCAAGACCCTAGTTCAGTGCTTCAACTTACAAAATGCAGAAATGGAGAGTAAGCTTTAACAACAGGATCAACTCCCGTTACTAAATGACATGGATTCTCCCTCTCAGATTTAAACAAACCCTGGTTTATCGAATGTCAAAACACCTCCTAGAAGTAAGTGAAGGCTCTGTAGGGTGTCACAAAATTAGGACGGGGATTCTTGCACACCGAATTCTAAACCTTTCCAGTAAGGAAATCAGACTTTGTGGTACACACTAAGAGGTGGGCCAGATTGTCGGTATGACAAACAACACATCAGGCACCTGAAGGGTTACTGGGCACATGTCAGATGGAAACGCCACTCTTGTGAGTGGCCTGCCAGCTGTCTCAGTCCCCGGTCAGACGTGGGTCGCTCATTATGGAGTCCCTGGGGCCCTCCAAGCAGCAGGCTCTTGGAGAGGAGAAAGTAACACCATCCCAACATCAATCTTCTTTCGAGGGCACTCACAGAGCAGGCTGAATTGAAAAAAAGCATCTAGCCAGAGGAGACCAAGCCCTGAGAATAATCTACACATCTGTGCCTCTAAGTTTAGAGTCTTATTGGGTCAAAAATGGAAACCAGTGATTAATCTGGAGTGGCCATGTGCAGGCCACTGCTAGGTACTTTGCACAATTACCTGAAACCTTACAACCATCTTCAGGGTAAGGGTTATTAGCACCATTTTACAGGTGAGAAATCAAGCTCTGAGAGAGTCACACCCAGCACTGAGAGAGCCAGGCTCCAGAGGCTAGTGATCTATAAACACCAAAGCCCCTTTTTCCCCTACGTGAACTCTATGATGAAATGACAAAAACCAAGGACCGGGTCAGTTTGAACCACCTTCATCTTGTTCTTTTGGATGGATCTATTTTTTGAACGAGCAACACAGTGCATTGTTCTTTACTTCGGTTTCCTTAAAAACAGGCCCGATTCTTAGTCTTGATAATACCCAGGTGGCAAAGGAAACAAAGAAACGAACCAATAGTTTCTGCCAGGACGGCACTGCAAAGAGACGGTGGTTGGAATTTCCCACTGGCCCTTTGGCTTTCGAAACAAGAAAAGAGCATAAAGGGAAACTCCCAACTCTGGTGGAGTAGGAAGACATCTGTAAGCCCACGGGGGTCCCTCTGGAGTCCACAGGGACAAGAAAAAGGTTCGAATGCCATGCGAAGAATGAGAAGCGACTGACAGAAGGGCCCTTTCTATCAGGCTGCAAGATGAGTGGGTCCCAGGGCCTGATATGCAGTGGGCACTCCATAAATTTCCTGAACAAAGACAGTTTCCAATAGTGCACAGGGCCAGTATTTCTTTATATTTTTTCAAGTTTAGCTGAGATGAGGACTATCTCTGTATGTACAGAAGTTTTTCTTCTCCTAAATTGTGCTCCTTTTCCGCGGATGGAGGAGGCGAGGCTCAGAAGGTCTTATACTGGCACTACCGTCCCAGACTCCCTTTTAAAAACCAGATGAGGTAATGAATTCCCTATGTCACTGTGTGGCCACTGGATAAAGGACAGTCATTTATGTACACATGTGACTGTTACCCTACTTAACTCAGTAAGGATCTTAGCATTTTTGTTTTTTAACGAATTATGCCCAAGGTCACAGAGCAAACTAGCAGCAGGGCTAATCCCAGGACCACAGTCCTCTATCCCCCTCAACAAGCTTACAATCTAACTGGTAAAAGAAAGATATATCCCCG